TCGAAATCTAATCTCATGTAGTCGTAGGTTACGTGGCAGGAGTATGCATTCCCGAATGGGATAGGACCCTTACCGGAGGCATAAGGTGACATTATAACTTCGTATGAAGTTGTTGTGATTGTTGTGTTGTGATTCTGGTTTCAGGAATTATGGACAGAAGGTGGATACAAAACCCGAACAGATGCGCAGACGAATACTTGGATGGAATCGAGGATTTTATTGAGTTTGCACGTAGCCACAACCCGGGTGCAACTAGAATCCGTTGTCCTTGTAGGAGGTGCAACAACACGTTATGGGAGACAATTGAAAATGTTGGATTTCATTTAGTAAGGAATGGAATGATTGAGACATATAGCATTTGGAACAATTAGAGCATGCTTCGTCTTCAAATGCCACAAGAGTGGACAATGTTCAACCTATTGTGGATGCTAATGATGAAGTCATGGATATTATACAGGATGTTTTTCCATTTGCATCGACCAACATGAATCAAGAAGAGCAAGATGATGTGCCTACACCAATAGACAGTGCGGAGTTTGAACAATATGAGAAATTGTTAAAAAATGCCAACCAAGAGTTATACCCGGGGTGCGAGAGCTTTTCCGTTCTCACGGCCATTGTGGAGCTAATGCACGGAAAAATAAAGTATCGTATGTCGAACCTGTGTTTCGATTACTTTTTGGGGGTTTTCAAGAGAATGCTTCCGACGGACAATTGTTTGCCGAAAGATCATAAACAGGCGCAGAAGGTGTTGAATGGTCTTGGATTGGGTTATGAAAAAATTCATGCTTGCAAAAACAATTGCATGTTATTCTACAAAGAGCATGAATCGTTGGATACATGTCCTATATGCAATGAGTCGAGGTTCAAGATGACATCTCAGAATAGGACGACTAAGATCCCACAAAAAGTCATGCGTTATTTGCCCCTGAAACCTAGGTTGCAGCGATTGTATATGTCGACGCATACTGCCACAGACATGAGATGGCATCAGGAAAAACGGGTAGACGATGATGTGATGCGGCATCCTGCAGATGGGGAGGCATGGAAAGAGTTCGATCGAATGTTCCCAGAGTTTGCTGCTGATCCCCGAAATGTTAGATTGGGACTTGCCACTGACGGATTCAATTCGTATGGGGTTCTAAACCAACACCACAGCACTTGGCCGATTTTCGTATTCCCATATAATTTGCCGCCTTGGAAATGCATGAAAAAAGAATACATGATGATGACTGTTTTGATAACTGAGGATCCTGGGAGGTCAATCGATGTTTACTTAAGGCCGCTGGTTGATGAGCTGAAGGATTTGTGGACAAACGGTGTTCGCACGTACGATAAATTAACTGGGAAGATGTTCACTTTGCGGGCAGCAGTTATGTGGACTGTGAATGATTTCCCAGCATATGCAATGGTTTCTGGGTGGAGCACAAAAGGTTATATGGCATGTCCTGTATGCAAGGAAGATGTAACTTCTGGTTGGCATGCTGGAAAAGTTTGTTACCTTGGTCATCGGAGATGGTTGCCATGGGACCATGAGTGGAGGGAAAAAGATAAAGAGTTCGACGGGAACACTGAGCGTCGCCTTAGACCCAGAGAATGGTCCGGTGATGAGATATTGGACCAGCTTAACCGGTTGAATTTTGCTCCCTTCGGGAAAACAGTTAGTCGTATCAGACCTTCTACACATATGAACTGGACGCACAAGCCTATGTTTTTTGAGCTCCCATATTGGTCGAAACTAATATTGAGGCACAATCTAGATGTGATGCATGTTGAGAAAAATGTATTCGACACATTGGTGGGCACGATTCTAGATATCGAGGGGAAGACAAAGGACACGATCAAAGCTCGTCTTGATTTGGAAAGAATGGGCATACGAAGGGGTTTATGGATGAATAGGGACAATGATAAAGCTAGAAGGGATCTTGCATTCTTTTCTATGAAACCGAATGACAAGAAAGAGTTTCTAAAGTTTGTATCGTCAGTAAAGTTTCCCGATGGGTATGCTTCTAATATCGCACGTTGTGTGAATGTTGACGGGGGTAAATTTACTGGACTTAAAAGCCATGACTGCCATGTGTTTATGCAACGCCTACTTCCTGTTGGTATTCGACACCTATTGCCGGAAGATGTAGTGAAGCCAATCATTTTGTTGTCCAGATTTTTTTCCCAACTGACGGCGAAAACTTTGCGAAAAACGGACATGTTTCAGTTGCGCCATGACATTGTCCAAGTCCTATGCAAGTTTGAGATGATATTTCCTCCAGCTTTCTTCACAAGTATGATGCACGTGATGGTTCACTTGCCAGAAGAGGCATTACTTGCTGGTCCTGTCAACTATCGCTGGATGTATCCAATAGAAAGGTATATAATCCTTATCATTTGTGTATGCATCATTATCACATGCTTGCTAATTTCAATCATATCGTTTTATTTTGGCAGGCTTCTCGGAGAGCTGAAAAAAAGTGTACGCAACAGGGCGAAGCCCGAAGGATCAATCGTAGAGGCTTGGGATCAATATGAGTCGCTTACTTTCTGCGGAATGTATTTAAAAGATGTGGATACGGTTTTCAATCGTCCTCAGCGTAATCATGATAGAGGTATGAGAAATGAAAAACTCTCTATTTTTGCCCAAAGCGCACGACCCTTTGGAGATCCTGGACGCGGAGAGTCGTTTTCTAGAAATGACATAGAGGTAGCGCATTGGTTCGTACTGAACAATTGTGATGAGATCATGGGATACTTATATGAGCATGAAGAGATGATGAAGCGAGAACATCCATCTATCACAGGATTTCAACGTGTGAATACTGGAAGGACCTTCAGATTGCCTTGCTTTGCTTGTCCGATATTCTGAGACGTTGGCTTCACAGGGAGATTTACTCTGATGTGTTCTTGACTGAGAGTCTCGGAGGTCTTCGATGTGTTTGACTAGCAGAGAATTTGGGTCTTGTAGGAGTTTTCGAAATAACTCTTTATTCGAATTCAAAATTTCCAATGCATCTAATAATTGTTTAGACTGGTGGTTCACCCCATCAACGAATTTCTGATTTATGATGGCCTCAGCTGCATTCAGCTGTACTGGCACAAGATTAATCTCATTAAGCTGGTCATGCTTCACGGTATCAATACTTTTACAACCGCATCCTCGTCGGTTTTTGCTATGTACCTCTTTGCTAGATACTTCTGGCAGTGCTGCAGAGTTGAGCTTATTCAAAGGTTCTTCCACCAAAACTGAATTAGAATGTTTTTGATGCTTAGCTTCATGGGATCTCTGACGAGTTTTGGTAGTCTTTCCATTGTTTTTTGGTAAATGACCAACAAATTTGGAATTAGATGGTATATCTTCCCCTTCATCACTAGCAAACTTCTTGTTCATCTGCGGCTCAGTGGACAAGTCTTCTCCCTTAAGCTTTCTTTTACTTGCCACATCAGAATCAACTGTCTGAGTTTTGTTCTTCATTCTATCCTGGAACAATTAAAGTTGCTAATCAGTTAATTCTTCTAATGCTTTAATTGATCAAGTAACCAGCCAGGGGTCAATACTGTGAGAGAATATTAAATAAAAAAGAGACCAAAATGAAGAAAAAGTATAGAAGAAACGAGCCTAATGGAACTTACATCCATGCTTTGGCCCTTCTCGTCCATTTTGTTAAGCAAATCAAGCTTGGTCTTAAAATTTCCATCATCTACATACAAAGAAAAATAAATAGATAAACTTTTCAATCTTATTGAATATAATAATTATAAGAATATAAAACAAATGCATAAATATAATAGAAAATCATAACAAAGTACAATGATATTTTCAATACTGCAAAAGAATTTCAAGGTATATCTTATTCAGTACTTTTAATTACTCTTTGATAAGTCTATCAGCACTTCGTGAAACGACAAAAACAAGCACTATCATCTTGCTTCAGCATTGTTTAGTTCACAATTATGCATGTAATAGTTTATCGAATACAGCAGCTGGGAGAGTACAAGCAGTTCATAAAGACTTGCATCTGTCTTGCATTTGTCATTGTACAGCATAACGAAAAATTCTTACCCAGTCTGTTTGTATGCCTCTTATGTGAAAGCCGCTTCTTATTAGAATGACCTTGACGGAAGTTGAAGAGGCCATATAAATGCCACATACAGCCTGTCTCGTACTTCTCACATACCATAGGGCTTTTTGGCATAGGACTTTTCGGCATAGGACTTTTCGGCATAGGGCTTTTTGCTGGTGTCATCTTTGCCATGATGAGTGAACTGGGAGAGCTTGGCTATAGCATATAACACCAGATTAACATCAAACTAGAGAATAAATAAAAAGAAGAAGAAACTGTGGGGATGAACAGCTTAGTACACAGCATACAATATAATATTGTGTTAGTTTCAAACCTGATGACCTCAATAATAATGCAATTATTTGTCTCTCGGATAGCATAATATTGGTACTTTGAAATAATTTCGCACAAAATAAATAAATAAAAGACATGAATACATTAAAAGATGACTTGTAATGTAAGAATAGAAAAACAATTTTTTCGAATAAGTTTCACCCTGTGAAGGACAGTTTTCTATAATCCAAACACATATACAATGTCATGCACCTAACCAAGAAGAAACAACATATAAGCATAAAAAAGTTTATATCCAAGTGCACACTCAAGTCAGGAGAAACACCAGTTGAATATATAATCTTCTGTACTACAGATGATTGTATTAGATGCAATCTGCAATATTGTCTTTGGTTTGTGTCCTTGTTTTATGTGTGTTTTGTACTTAGGTTTTTGTAGTGTGCAAATTATTTTAAACGTGTTGTCCCACCATGTGTTTTCTTCAACAATCACACCTAATATGATTTGTTTATTTGGAGGAAAAATCGTAGTTTCCTTCTGAAGATGGAACTTTAGCCACAAGTATTGCTAGTCATGGCATGAGTGACAGACAGGCCATGGCCATCAATTCATTTCCCAATAAATCTTTTACCTTCAAAGTTGAAACACCTAACTAACTTGTCAGCAATTCATTAAAAATTATAGAACAAGAAAAAGAAAAAAGGAGGAAATTCAAGCCAAAGTATCTTCTACTCTGTGCTACCTCAATTTTAGCAGCTCTGTGGCTGCCTCTGTAAGTGTCATTAGCTCCTAATTTGCTAAAACACTAATCAAATAAAGAGACATTTTCTGTTTGTTTCCATGGAAAGTGTTTCCAATGAAAATTCTTGTCTAACAACCAAACCAAAAACATAACTGTATAAACTTGCAAGCCCAAGATTTTAAATGTTACAAACATCAACTGAGATGAAGAAATTTCTACAAGGAAATAAGAAACAGAGAGATAGAGAGATAGAGAGAGAGGTACCTGAAAAAGCTTTTAGTCCTATGCAGTGCTTGAGAAAGAAAAAGGGAAGCTTTTTGCTTTTTGACTGAAAAGAGAGTAACTTGTGCAGAGGAGGCTATGGACTTCTTGCTTTAAATATAGCAAGTTCCAATCTTTAACATCAAACTAAATTTATACCCAGAAACCCAGAAAAATGGGAGCTGAAGAGCCATGAACAAGGAGAAGAATAATGGAAAATCACTATGAAAAAATAAATAATAAAAAAGTGAAAGAAAGAGATATCAATGGGAGCGAGATTTATGGCGACAGCGACTGGTAAATTGCAATTTGCAGAGACACCAAGGATGGGGATTGAGGAAGAAAGCTTTCAACTGAAGGAAAAATTAAGTTTAGTAGCTTTCCCACTTCCCTCCCTCTCTCTCTCTCTCTCTCTCTCTCTCTCTCTCTGCATTTCCATCTTCAACCGTCGTCAGAGTCTCATCACCTCCCTTTGTTTTCAACACTTTCTCTCTCTCTTCACGTTAAGCTAAAGATAAAAAGATGTCTGTTTACGTGTTTGAATTTTATAATAAGATTTTTATGCTATACTATGACATGAGTGTTACAATAACAATGATATTGTAAATGGACGGCCTTTGGATTTTTTTGTCTTTTCTTATCAAAGATTTCCGACATATTATATCTTGTGAAATTGATTATGTATTTTAAAATATATTGGCTAATCCATATGTGGGTTAGGGAAGTTACGAAGGCAATGTACTCGGCTATTTGCACTCAATTACGAATTCTCCAACGATGTCTAGTCCAGTAAAAAGGGACTTTAAATTGTAGACCAGTTGTTTTATGTTTGAATCTCCATATGTGTCAGTAGTGTGTGTGTGAAAAACTTCATCTCTCTTATAGTTAGATATTTAAAAAAGCAAAAGGTATGAATTCTCCTTTCGTCTCATAATTTAGATACAATTATTCATTATAAAAGCACTTCCACCTCATTGTGTCATTGCAAAGGACAAGTAAAGGCAACTACTATTCATGGTGACTACCGTAGCAATTTTTTGATGCATTCCCACCCATTGTCATGGTAACTCAAGAACAACCAATATTTACATGAAAAAAGGGATGAGTGAAAATTATCTAAGAGATTATCTCTTATCAAACAGTAGTAAGATAAACATTTTTGCACCCATCTTTTAGTTGTCTACATTTTATTAGGTAATTATTATTATTATTATATAAAGTTAAGTTGTCAAAATGGTTTAGTATTTCATTAAATCCAGAACATTAATCATCAAGATTCTTCTTTGAGACATTGATAAGATAACCTTATCTCTCTTTTTCTATTTTTCTTCTCTTTTTGTCAAAGTTAAGAAGTAAAAGAGGGATTTTTTTGACACACACTATTAAAATGTCATGTAAATTTGAACCCGAGACTATATGATAAAATAACGTTGTCTCACGATCAATACAACACAACATGAATTTTATTTGAATATGAATTAACATTTGATAACATAACATATTATATCTAGGTTCTCGATCTAACACAACACATTCTTGGTAACAAATAATTATTTGTATAGTTAATTAAAAAAAGACAATGAAAAGCTGCATTTTCGTGATCACGATGTAGACTTGTTTTGTTTTGGGGTTCATGAAATAGGGTGCGTTTCGGATTATGTGGAGGCGTTGTCGTCGTAGGTGACAAAACACTGATCTTTCTCAATCTGAATGTGAAGCGGCCATAGCCAGCCAGCCAGACAGCCAGTCCCTAAGCTTGCTGGATCAGACAATTTTTAAAATTTTCATGTCCTTTACTACAAAAGTTTGAAATGCTTGGCTTTATATTTTCCAAAATTTGACCTCCATAAATACATCTTATAATTACCATGGATTTCCGGATGGGTGCCTGGCTCAGCTGGATTGGCAGGGCCTTGTACGTTTCTGTCCAAAAAAATAGTAACAGAGAAGTCATGTTTGTCCAGTCAAATTAGGTGTCAGAAATAATTTCTATGGTTATTAAATAAATAAAAAGGAAAATAGTCTTAATTGAATGACGTTGTCCAGTTCTTAATTCAGATTGAGTCCTTGATGGCTGCCACCAAATATGACGATGGTCCCAAAGTTTAGCATGTATTAATTGCCTTCAGTTCTAAGATAGCTGATTCATCAACAAACAACAATGAAATGTTGAAATTAAGGACAACAAACATGCTTTTTGGCTCAATCAAAATCACAACTAATGGCCAGGGTGCGCTGAAACGTGTGTGTGAGTCTTCCTGGGCCTCGAAAGGGTGGATTGTCGTGGTTCGTCACTAACTAATCCCCTTTTTTTTATTATAAAAAAAAAATCAAAATCAAAATCAAAACTAATGGCCCCAATAAGTCCTACGTAGATCTATAATTCCACCTACAATTTAGTCATGGAAGTTATGAGACTAAAATCAACACACTCAATTGAAAATAGCTATCTGAAACCTCTATTTTACGTACCATGTTGACTATGGAAAATGAAAATGTTGAATTTAGATTTCATAGTGTTCATCTTGGAATTGTCGATTTTGTAGGGGCAAGTTCTAGTCACCGCGGGATCTTATAAATTTCGCACCAAGTGGTTAAGCTTCCCTTTGACTTCCCAATAATACTTTTCACAACAGACTTTGGATTCTGCTTGAGAAATTAGAATATTAGGCAACACCAATTATAATTATAAATAACAAATAAAAAGTTGAGTTGTCAAAATGTTGGGAAAACAAAGTTTGAAAACAATGGAAAGAAAGAACCTTATCATATGAAAGTATGCGTAAATTATTATGATTCCTAGAGGCTTTGCGTATGCATGCTTATGTGTGTGCAACTACTACTCTTGGCCTCGCATGGGTTGCGTTAGCCTTAAGATTCCACTTGGGACCCCAAGCCCCAACAACCACATGAACATTGCAACAGAAAAAAAGGGCTTATTCAAAATTGTGAGCAATGTTCCTACAACTTCGTAATCTTATCTATACGAGATGCTATTGAGGCGATATTTTAAGTCAATTACATATTCTCACTGCAAGAAAGTTTTTCTCATACAAGAGTCAAGGCTTGCTTATATGACAAATCTTAATTAATAATAAGCGCATATGTCACATACACTATTAATATCAAGTTGATATACAATATTCATAATAATTGACAATTATATTTTTATACGAGCGATATTAGGAGACGCTAATATAATAATGAACCCATTGATTACCTGGATGTTATTATTGGTGGTCTACTTGATGCGACTGAATATGGTTGTCTTATCCAATTGGACCATGCCCTCCTTTCTTATGACATGCAACAAAAGTCAATGGAGATAATTTAACACAATACCAATCCCCATTTAATGTTGATTTGTACATATCAAATCAAGACATGTTCTACGAGTGGAACCAATAATTTATACAGAGGTGTTGGACTGGAATATTTTGACGCTTTATTTTAATACTCCTTGTAGGTAGGTGGAAATTTTTGGTATATGAAACTTTAAGCTCGGGAGAAAGATCATCACAAGCTTGATGCTTATTTGTAATTCTGATTCTAATTGTCTTTTTGGGTTTTTTTTTTCTAAACATCAATATTGAATCTAGGTCGCTCTGTTATTTTAATGACCATTTGTAGCTAGTTTGTATTGGCCATTTGTCACAAGTGATTTTTTTGACTGAATTATGAATGCAATTCTAGAATTTCTAATATATATATTTATATATATCAATATTGAATCTAGGAGATACCCTTTTATCCATCCATTTTCCCTTCAAAGCTATTTGAGCTAAAAAAACTCATGGGCATTATGATTGTCAAGATCAAGGCGAGTCGTTCTAACGAGTGTGAGGATAAATGCATCATGTTTTTAACCTCTTTATTATATTGTGTTATAAGAAGGTCAAGTCGTTCTAATGAGTGCAAAGATAAATGTTTGACCCTTTAAGTATCAAGTCTCCACTATTTTAACCTAGCATTTTCGTTTTACGTCTATTACTATAAAGCTAAAACAAAATTATGACTTATCTATATACCAAAAACTATTGTTTTTCTAATGTAATTAAGATAAATATAGTAATAATAATAAAAATTTAAATAAATAACTTATTTGGGTTCATTTTACCTTTAGAAGCCCCAACCAATTTACTAAGACTTTGAGCCCAAAACTAGCCTACGAGATAGGCCAAGACCCATTTTCATTTTACCCCAAAACATTCACAAATCCTTCATCAAGCCCAAACAATAATCTTGAAAAAATAAAATAAAATTCCAAAAGAAAACAAAAAGCGCGAAAACCCGCCACTCGCCACGTCAGCAATAAACCCCCTATCCCCTCCCATCTCCAAAACCTCTCTCCCTCTCTCTCTCTCTCTCTCTCTCTCAGCAACCTCACTCCCATGGCCTTCACTTTCCTCTCAATCCCTCACTTTCTCTCTCCTCAACCCCACTTTCTCTCTCTAAAACCAAACTTCACGTCCCTCAGACCTTCAATTCCCTCTCTTTCTGCTCGGCTTATTAGGCCCACCCACGCAATCGGGCCGGACAGCAAGTACTACCCGGACCCGGCAGACGACGACCCTCCCGAAGCCCCGGAAGACTCGGGTCACGGGGTGTCCAAGTTCCAGCAAATCCAGCGCCAAGCCTCGCGCCACCGGAAGCTCCAAGAAGAAGACTTCAAAAAGCACCAGGACACCTTCCTCAATGCCATTGCTGACGTGGAAGACCCGCCAGAAAATTCCAGTTCCGTAACTAACGAGAACTCCGGGGACGATTTGTTTGGAGATATTGACCACGCTATTGCCTTGAAACGCAAGGAGTTCGTGAAGCAAGGGCTTCTGAAGCCAAACCCTAAGAAGGAGATTGTTGCGGTTGACGAGTTGGACCCTGAGGAGGTCGTGGACTTGGAGGAGATTGACGAGCTTCAAGGGCTTAGGGTTGTTAGTGAGGACTCGGACGAAGATGGGCCAGAGAAATTTGATTCAAAGGTTAGTGATTTGGATGGTAAAAATGGAAATTTGCGTTTGAATTCTGAGTTTGATTTGGATTTTGATAGTTATGGTAAAACTAGGGCTAGTATTGTTGAACCTAAGTTTAAAATGAGCTTGGCTGAGCTTTTGGATGAGAGTAAAGTGGTCCCTGTATCGGTTTATGGTGATTTAGAGGTTGAAATCACTGGAATTCAACACGATTCGAGGGTGGTTAATTCTGGTGATTTGTTTGTGTGCTGTGTTGGGAGCAAAACTGATGGGCATTTATACTTGAGTGAGGCTATTAAGAGAGGAGCAGTGGCTGTTGTAGCTAGTAAAGAGATATACATGGAGGAAAACTTGGGGTGTAAAGCATTAGTCATTGTGGAAGATACCAATGCAGATTTGCCCGCATTGGCTGCTTCCTTTTATAGGTACCCATCAAAGAATTTGGCAGTAATTGGGATAACGGGAACAAATGGGAAGACTACGACTGCATATTTGATAAAGGGGTTGTATGAAGCAATGGGATTGAGGACAGGTATGTTGAGTACAGTTGCTTATTATGTGCATGGGGATAATAAGTTGGAGTCACCTAACACGACCCCGGATGCTGTTTTGGTTCAGAATTTGATGGCTAAGATGCTCCATAATGGGGCTGAAGCAGTTGTCATGGAAGCTTCTTCTCATGGGCTAGCTCTAGCGAGGTGCGATGAAGTTGATTTTGACATAGCAGTTTTCACAAATTTGACGAGAGACCATTTGGATTTTCACAAGACTGAGGAGGAGTATAGGGATGCAAAGGCTAAGTTGTTTTCGAGGATGGTGGATCCAGAACGGCACAGGAAAGTTGTCAATATTGATGACCCGAATGCAACCTTCTTCATTGCACAAGGGAACCCAGATGTTCCGGTTGTGACCTTTGCAATGGAGAATAAGAATGCAGATGTTTATCCCCTGAAGTTTGAACTTTCCTTGTTTGAGACACAGGTTTTAGTCAGTACTCCCCAGGGTATATTGGAGATATCATCGGGTTTGCTTGGAAGGCATAATATTTACAATATACTGGCTGCTGTGGCAGTTGGGATTGCAGTTGGAGCACCGTTGGAGGACATTGTTAGAGGAATTGAAGAGGTTGATGCAGTTCCAGGAAGGTGTGAGTTAATAGACGAGGAACAGGCCTTTGGAGTGATTGTGGATTATGCTCATACTCCTGATGCCTTGTCTAGACTTTTGGACTCTGTTAGGGAGCTTGGTGCAAGGAGGATTATTAGTGGTATGCTTCTTATGTTCCATTTTTTATATTATCACTTCTAAAGCTAGAATTGCTGTTTAATTGCATGCTTTTAACATGTATCCAAATTCTCTGCCCATTTTAGAACTGTAATATTGCTATAGAAAGTAATAATATCTAGATTGAGTAAATAGTAGGTTGAAACCATTTTGTAAGAACAGGCTTATTCTTATTGCATGTTCTGTGTACAAGAGTTTTTTTTTATAGTAATTTTTTCCATTCTTTGGCATTACTCCTGATACTCATCAGAAATGCTGTACCAATTTTTTCAGCAAAAATAATATGAAGTTTGTAAACAATATTGTTCTTTTTTCTTTGCTGACCAACTTTTTTTGTGCTTTATGTGAAGTAATCGGATGTCCTGGGGAGAGTGACAGAGGGAAAAGACCCATGATGACAAAGATTGCAACAGATAAAAGTGATGTGACAATACTGACGTCAGACAATCCAAAGAATGAAGATCCATGTATGTATATCATACCTCCAAACTGAAAGAAAAGGCATAATTGTTATTTTCTTTGCTATATGCTATCATTGATGTGGGGGAAAAAAAAACTTTAATCTCTTTTTTTTTTAAAAAGAGGCAAATTTGATTGATGGCGTAATTTCTTTAATTTTTCTGTGTCTATAAATTTAGGTGTGGTCCATATGTCTCTGAAAATGCTAGTCTATAATGTGTAGTATTCTCTCCAAATGCTTGGTCTAATGCTTGCACTTGTCATTTGTATCAGTGGACATCTTGGATGACATGTTGGCTGGTGTAGGATGGACAATGCAGGATTACTTGAAATATGGCGAGAATGATTACTACCCACCTCTTCCAAACGGTCATAGGCTTTTCCTGCATGATATTAGACGAGTAGCTGTCCGCTGTGCAGTTGCCATGGGTGAGGAAGGTGATATGGTTGTAAGTTTTCGAAGCCTCAATCTACTTCCATGTGCAAGATTTATGTATAAACAAGAAAGAAGTCACACAAAATGGAATATCCACTCTCTCTCTCTCTCTCTCTCTCGCTCAAAACCTTTTTTTTTCCTTCTACATTATCATTTATACATAGATTTCAATTGTACACTGCATCTAGTCATTTCAAATCCCAAAATTTACTTTATCTGCATCCAAGTGTAACCCAAAAGAATTGGCATTTATTTAGTTGTGCAAGATGCGGAAGTGGTATTCTTCATGAGATTCTGAGAGGACTCCGGTGAAGATAACAAAGAAACTTAAAGGTTTTGAAAAAGAAATAAGCTTGTTTGGTATGCAAACAAAGTATGATTACTCTAGCCGTTATACTATAGATGAAAAAACACAATCTGAATTCTTTTTATTTTCGTGTGTGATGAATGAGTCACATAATTAATACGCTCCCTGGCATTGCTCTCCAATTCTCACAACTTTTCTTGTTGCTCTTTTTAAGATTATGTTGCATTGCTGCAGGTGGTTGCTGGCAAAGGCCATGAAGCATATCAGATAGAAGGTGACAAAAAAGAGTTCTTTGATGACCGGGAAGAGTGCCGAGAGGCATTGCAGTATGTTGATGAGCTTCACCAAGCTGGAATAGACACAAGTGAATTTCCGTGGAGGTAGGTTAATTGAGTGTAATTTTCATTTACTTAAACATGAGGTATCTCTAATTTTAAGCATCTCAAGAAGACCTATCTATTCCTATGAGGCAAAAATGGCTTCACTAATTGGCGCAGTCTTGTAATTAATCTTTTATTGTTTGGTGCAGTACATACATAAAGATATTTCATTATTGTTGGAGTGCTATAATTGATTTGGTTTTCTGACCCTTGATTCATTCGCTAATATATACTTATCTGAGTCATCTGACAAACAGCACTACTACCTTCTATCTATGATTTGTATTTTTCATTTTATTTTATCAGTATTTAGGATTTGATATGTGCGATTAGAGATACTCTGTTTAAAGAAAAACTATGTGCAATTGTTGTAGATCTTGCAAGTGAGGAATTGTTGATATAATTGGAGATTAATAATTGTTTTTCCTTGACTTGACACAGGTTACCTGAGAGTCATTGATCTCTTCCGTAAGGAGTAGTCAATTATGGAGTACTCCTGCACATTGTGTTGATTTACACTAGGAGATATTTCTAATACCTGGATACCATCTAGAGGGCATGTGACCAAGTGTATTAACCTTGGTTTGGTCAAGTGAATGATATGCCATATATGTGAAGGCGAGACCCGAGAACGGCTTCTTGGTTATTAAAGACTGGTGTGAATTCTACTCCATAATTTATTTGTCAACGTTTATTTCTGGAGACAAATGTTCATCCAAACTTTTTCTTTATGTATGCATGCAGGTTGTTGAGGCTTTGCTCTTTGAAGCGGTGTAGTTTTGCAGAAAGCTGAAAATTTTCACCTAGACGGTTATAGGCACAATTTTTGTAGGCAATGTATGTAGAATGTACGCTATGTAAACTAAAATCCTGGGTTGCCAATATGTCACAATTTAAATGAATCCAATTGGTTGGTCCAGATAGTATGAATATTAGTTCTTGTAAGTTCCTGTATAAATCAAGATGGATGGGGAAATGCATGGTCTCTCTCTCTCTCTCTCTCAAGCATTTATGCATTTTATACATTTTTATGTGCAAGTGCACAACTTTTTGTATAGACAAGGACTAGAAAATTAATTGATGGATTTACACCCAAAACAAATCAGGTTCTGTAATGAAGCATTGCATGTGTTTTCTGCCCACCTGTAAATTATAATGTAATAGCTTTATGAAACATGATATAACCAACTTTTTTCTTGAATATTTCTATACAATTCCATCTAATAATTAACAAATTTGTACATGGCCGACTCCGGTCAGATTTGTAAACCGAAAAAAAACCTCCGGTCAGATTTTTCTTTAATTCCTTTTCTATATGAGGATATTTTCTACTAAAAATGAAAAAAAAAAATTCCTATTTTGCAATTCAAATAATTTTCCATGCCATTGAATTTAAGAAAATGGACAAATATGTTCAACACAAGGGTCTTATTTTTCCTTTTCAAATCAAAAGGTCTTAGATTTATTACATAACCCACAAATTATTTTATATTATAATAATTATATGAGAAACCCAAAAGGTAAAAAATAAATAAATAAATAAAAAGAGAGAGGCCTGAAAGGAAAGGCCAGATAAATTCTTGGTAAGGCAAACTTCCCTTGCCATCATGAAAAGGAAGGGGTTTGGTGGAAACAGATATGAAGCGTTAGTGTTGTGAATTTGAGTGCAGAAAATCATTAACTTTTTTACCAAATAAACAATCTTTTTTTACTTATCAAGACCAGTGAGTGTGTTTGCAAAATTGGAATTGTCCACCTCCAGTCCTCCTAGACCAACTTATTGGAAAGAGGGGAACAAAAACAACCCCATAACTTTCCCTGCCACCCCTCACCCAACCACTGACTCTCCAAATGCAGCACACTGCTCACAGTCGTGACACAAATTGATACTTACAGCCAAAAGCATATTATTTTGCTTTCCTTTTGGAGAGAGCCAGAGCGAGAGAGACATATGCTCTGAGGCAAAAAGCTACAGTTTTTAACATGGAGTTTTGGAGTTTGAGCAGAGGAATTTCATGGTTTCAACACAGTTTCAACCACTGATGTATGGTATGAAAAATATTCATCTCATAAATGAATAACAAAAGAAAACCCATGGCTTGGTGTTTTTTCTTTTGCTATTTACATTATTCTTGATAATTTTCTCCATTGTTTGATACCGAATCTTCAAGCTTTTATGATTATGTTTCTGGGTTTTTGAATAAATACTGGGAAGTAATGTAAGTTAGAACCTGCAACCAATAAAAAAAAATATTTCTTTTGGCTAAAAACTTGAATTTTTGTATGGTATATGATTGTTCTCCTAATGGTTTGTTGTTGCCTTTCTCTGGAGCTCTGTGATCATTATTGGAGAGATTGATTCACCTTTCATATTTGCATGTTAGTTTTGTTGGTAAATCACTAATATGATTGTTCATGTTGGTCGTTACTATCCCCCTGGTGTTTTTTCTTTTGTTACTTCTTGTACTATTCTTTCATGATTTTCTCCATTCTTTGATGTCAAATGTTCAATTTTTTATAGTCATGTTTCTGGGTTTTTGAAATAATATAAGGAAGTAATGTAATTTAGAACCTGCAAAGTTTTTTTTTTTTGTGGCTAATAACTTGAATTTTTGTGTTGCATATAAGATTGTTCTCTTAATGACGCGTGGCATTCTTTGGAGCTTTGTGATCATTGTTGGAGATTGATTTACCTTCGAAGTCACTACTTGCATGTTAGTTATGTAATATGATTGCTGATGCTGATAGTTAATATCCCCTGGTAGAGTTTTTGAGCTGGTGAGGCACACATATTGTTCAATAAGGTAGCTTTTCATTCATGTCTTTCTGGGCTGTTATAGCTTTAGGGATTAGAAGATTTACAGGGCTCTTAATTGAAGTTTTGTTATTGATTATTTGCTTAAATTTGGGCCTCCATGGAAATTGCTCTTATGGTCCCACTGGTGTTTTGCTCGTATGCTGTCCAAAGGTTTCTGCTAGTTTTTATACGGAGTCTAGGAAATTCATGAGTACATTTGTTTTCAACGATGTGGTTGTTTTGTTAGTGTTTAATTGTGACTTCATATAATTTTTCTGATGAATACTCTATTTCTAACCCATTTATTCATTCAACTTGACCCATGCTTCTTATTTTCCTTGCAGGACTCAGAAAAAGGAACTCGGTAGAAGATACCAGACCGATTTGGGTTCTAGCTAGTGGTTTTTCTAAAACCACTCATTCGATCAAATAAGTAAGCCCCAGTAGGTGGTAATACTGTTAACCAACGGCCACTCTCCTTCAAGAAACCAGTTGGAGTATTGATACGCGGGCCTCATAATCTCTGTTCAAACTTTTAGGGCGTTGGATTCTTTGTAAAGCGGTGCAACATTCAAAGTTCTTTTCTGATACAAGTCAGTAAAGCTCTGATGTCACCCAGCTCCAAAATGGGTGATGGGTTGAAGCGGCAGAGGTGGGAGTTTAGGAGGAGGGACAGTGACATGGATTCTTCAAGTGATGAGTCTAAATCAAGTAGTGAGGCGGCTCACAAGAAGCATAACCTGGTTTGCAGTTTGATTCCACTTGAAAATGATGAAGCAATTGGTAACTGCAGAGTCCAGCAGACTGGCATGTGCAATCCTAAGGATGATCAGATCATGTTTCAGAAAGGCAAAAGGGTGCATCTTAGGAGGAGGAAAAAGGATAATTGGATTAATAATGACATGGAGAGGGATTCCCGTAAAGAAGTTACTAGAAAAAAGAGTAGAATTAGTGTTTACGATCCTGCTGCTTTGGATGAACTTAAAATCTTCATGGAGTCCTTATTGGAGGATCTTAAAGTGACAAGAGAAAATTTGTTTTCATGGATGAGGAAGGAAATGCAAGAATTGGTGGCTGATGATGATGCTGCTCCACATCTTGAGCGAAGAAAAGGAAGTTCTGGAGGGAAAAATGTCCGAGTACAGAATGGTGACAACTTTGTAGAAAACACCATCTCTAAGGAGCACATACAGGTGCTTAATAAAAGAAAACTTGAGGAAAACATTATGATTCAGCATCAAAACAATTTTGATGAAAATGTCCTGGTGCAATGTGAAAGCAACTCTGAGCAGAATGCATGCCCAGATCATCATAACAAATTTAAGGAGACCTTCCAAGTGCAGCATCAGGGCAACTTTGAAAAAGTAAATGTTCAAGTGAACTATCGAAATAACTCAGACCTTGGCATGGAAGCTCAAAAATGTGATACGGGATCAATAGAGAGGAGTGTTAAAAGCAATACAGCAGCGGGTTATGATAATTGCTATCCTTTTAAGCCAAATTTTCAATCTGCAGACAAGAATGTGTGGATGCAGCATGAAAAGAACTATCTATCAGGCACAAGTGCTCAAGCTTACAGTGGTAGATCTTTAGAGAGCCCTTTAATAGGCAGAAAGATGGCTCAATCTAATTATTTCTATCCAGTAATTGAACATCGAGTTGATCGTGTTCAAGAAATTGGAGCCGAAACATCATCTGAAATGGATAGAGGTGAGAGGTTGGGATTACCTATTGAGTCCACTTTTTCTTCCAATCTTTCCAGTCAGGTAGCTTCGTCAATGTATTTGTCATTACCCACTGTGTTAACTGAGCCCTGTGGTGAGAACCATATGCTTAGTACTTCTTCAAGCAAATATATTCGAACACCATTTGATAGAAACAAACTAGATGTGAACTATGGGAAGGCAAATCCAATGCTCAAAGTAAATGGTCATCATGGAAAATCATCAGGCATGCAGCAAGAAGAAAGAAACGGAAGCTTTGCTCAACTAGGGTCCCAAAATATGAGTTGTTTTGATAAACAATGCATCCCAAGTTCAAGCATTGGAACAGGATTCCCAGTTCCACTTCATCAGGGTACGGACATTGGTGTTAGCATTCCAAGCCAAGTAAGTTTGCAATACCTACCCCACGAAGAAACAAACATAATGGGTTTAAGGATGGACGAAGGAGCCTCAACGTTCTCTGGTGGAAGCTATACTGCTATATCAGAAGGCTATCTTGCCAACACCTTTTACAGAAATTCCATTAGTAAAGCTCATGACAGACTCAAGGCATTTCAAAATCAAGACCTTGAAGAGGGCCTTTTATTCCCAAAATAGCATAAATTATAACATGGTTGAACTTGAACAATGGACAAGATTCAAAACTTCTGTTATGGTATGCATTTGCAGAAAAGAAGCCAATTGTGCTTTTCTTTCTATGTTTTGTTGTTCCAGATAACAGGCAACAATCAAATTAAATTTCTGCTGCCTTCTTGATTTTTGTCATTTTGAAACTGCGATTCCAACTTTCTTGTTTTGTCATGTTTGGATGCTTAACCACCATTAATTTCTTGGTTCTGAGGACATGTTGAAGGAGCTATCTTTGTGACCAAGTCAACTGGCTGCAGAATTTGAAACTTTGCGGGCAAGTAGATGTTGAGCGTGTTACAACTTACTGAGATTCTGAGATGATTTAGTGGCGTGGTAAATTTTGCTTTTTTTTTTCTTTTCTTCCTTTGATTTGGATATGATTTGTTGGTCATAATATTCTGGTGCCGATACTTCTTCATACTATTATTACACATGAATGGATTGGGGGTCAATGAATCTTGAAATTCTCTAAAACACCATATCCCATTCTCATTTGCCTACCGAAATCTTATTTGTCTGCCACTAATGAAGATACAGAACCAAAAAAATAAAAAAATTTGCTTAAATCTCATGACCAGCTAAAATGCTGCTCAACCACCTTCCATATTCACTTTATGGTTCAGTAGAAATATAGCCACTATCCCCCCCGGTTCCCTATACATGCAAACTTTAGATTATAAATTGAGAATGTGAACTAAGCAGCCTCATTGGTTTATCTCTTCTCTTAATGCTCGTACTGTAGTAAAAAATCTGTTTACTACTGAGATTGAAATGCCAAGACGGAGATGGGAACTTTACCTGCTTCGACTTGTATGTATCAACAATTTTGCTAGCATCAGTATTCCACACGTGTACATACGAAAGACGAAATCTGAACGTCAATACATATTAATTCTCTGTACGTGTATATACGAAAAATGAAATCTGACCCTTAATACATGTAGGAATGGTAATTTGACTGTACTCATGTGTGCTCAACATGGACTCATTAGAGCCATTAGCTTCTGGACAGATTCTGAAGTGGGCTGCTTTACACATATCATAATCATTGGTTTATAATGTGTGATGTACGCAAATAGTAAAGTTTCCTTGATTTAGGCCAACAAATTGTAAATTATTGAGAAAGACAAGATTACATACGTTAACAAGACAAAAGATCAGGAAGAAAAAAAAACGTGATGTACCCGGCAGACAAATTTTCCTGTCAGTCTGTGTCAGATGTGGACCATTGGAGGATGGGCATGGAAACGTAAGCCTCAATTTCTTTCAACTTTTCTGTTTCTGTTGAATTTTGGTTTATAATTTATGTGGAATTTTTTTTTCCTGTTACTTGTGTCAAATTCTTACCCACGGATGATGGCTGGTTGGTTCTTATGGACAATGCCACATGCGACTCAGAACACCAAAAAACAAAATGCCCCGTCCGGACGCGTTTATGTCGAGGACTTGGCAAAAACAAGAAATCCGTCAACACCTTTTTGTTTTAGTGTGATAATTCAGTGCCTAATCAAAACACTAGGTTCCTCCATTGATATGATAACAATTCTGACATGCTTACAGGGGTAGAAAAAAAATGGGTACAAAATCAACTACCCCACTAACATATTGTAATATGGAATTCACACATACGTTTTTAATTTTCTATATATTTAGGTCATCGTTTACTAACAAATGGAGTGAGAGTTATTCTAAATTTTTGCTTCTCCTATGTTTACTAATGTTTTTTTTTTTTTTTATGAGCAAGGGGGGATAAACTCCACAAACAGAACTATAGACGGTTTTAATTATCAAATCACATTACATGATGAAAAAAGAAAACGCAAAAGATAACATATGTAAAAGAGAATGCAAGAAATATGCTATAGGGATGGAGGTTTGCAGTGGCGCTGACTGGTGGTGAGAGTAGTCAATATTCCTCTATTTTTTTTTTATTAAAAAAAAACCTCTGTTTATATATATATATATATATATATATATATATTATAATATTATCAAGGGAGTCCTAGATAATCCCAAACCAGCTGGAGACCAATTTTGCAAATGACACCTACAATGTTAATGATATACCAGGTGAAGGTGTATTAAGGGTCCTTAAAAGAAAAATAATTTCACAAACCATAATTAAATGTATTTTCCCGCGTGTAGTCAAATAACCATTTGCTGACAAAAATAAGTAAAAAATGTATTTATTCTCAAATTCAAGAGTCAGGTAATTAATTTAATAATTAAATTTAATTAATTTAGTTGCCAAAGCAACCATCAAAACGCACCGTCCTCCTCTTCCTTCTCTTCGGTAAACGTCACTCTGCAACGGACGCATAGAGAGTAGATCCAAAGCATTTATTTTTATTTTATTTTATTCATATAAATTCCAATTTGTTTTTATTTGTTCGTTTTTCCCTGAGCTAATATTAGCTTTTCCTTTTTCTGTTAACAGTAGCATCACAGAAACAAAGCGAAAGTCTATTTCTTTCATAGCTACAAGCTTGTGAATCTGTGATGCAGAGAAAGAAGAGCCAGAAGGGTTCTTAAAAGATCGAGGAAGGGTTCAAGAACTCATGGATTTGCAGAGGCTTTGTGGGATAGTGTTTGTGTCAGCTCTGATTCTGCTGGTCTCTAAGCCTAGCTCTGTGACAGCTGGGGATATAGTGCATGATGACGATTCAGCTCCAAAGAAGCCTGGGTGCGAGAACAATTTCGTTTTGGTAATCTAATGCTGCTTTATCTCGCCGACCCTTTTCATGTTCTTGTGTTTTAGCTACTGGGTCTTGCTTTTTGTTCATAGGTTATTTGTGGAAGAAAATGAGATGGTGATGTGATTAACTGAGTAGGATAATATAAATATTCATTTTTGTACAATTGGGAGCTGTTAGTGCACCGGATGAAGTTCAAAGTGATGAATTTGCATTTTTGTTGTTTTTATGCTTTTGGATTGGAATTGGGTTGTTGTTGTTGTTGTTGTTTGGTCTTATTGATTAATCAGGTTGTTGAACTGATTGACATGAGCATAGTTTAAGTTAGTATACAGTACGTTTCTATATTCTCCCCTTGTAGTCATCCAGCTCATTCTTATATTTCCTTCAAAAAAATTCCCTTTTAGGTTTTTTTTTTTTTTTTTTTTTTTTCGAATCCCTTTTAGGTTAATGGGGGGGGTTGGGTTTGATTTTTTAAAATCTTTGGGTATTTTTTTAAAGCAGCCTTAGGTGGAGTGCTCGATGGAGAAGGAGAAGACGCAGCCTTAGGTGGAGGGCTCGATGGAGAAGGAGCAGCTGATGTTGTGGTGCTCGATGGAGAAGCTGCAGGTGACTTGGTTGGTGAAGATGTAGGGGATTGTGCCCTTGTTGAGGCCACCAAAAGAGCAGCCATCAGAACAAGAACCGCATTGGTGGACCGAGCCATTGTAGAGAGAGAGAAGGGTTTTTTTTTTTTTTTTTTTTTGATCGAATCCCTTTTAGGTTAATGGAGGAGTTTGGGTTGGATTTTTTAAAATCTTTGGTGATTATTTTAAAGCCATACTTTATTTGTACTGTCTCATGATTATAGATCAAGGACCGGCAATGGCAATGGTATTTCATGCCATGCAGTTTTGGGGTGGGGGTGTTTAAAAAGCAGGAGGGATACACGAGGCTAAAATTTCCTCTCTTTTGGCTCATAATGATGCTTCCTCTTCTTTTTCTTTTTATTATTTTCCTGTTTTAAATTGATATGGAAATGTGTAGACTTCTGGTCAGCTGTGATTGGTGGGACATTTATTCATGCTTCCATGGCACATGCCTTTTCAATAAGTATGGCTCATTTTTCAAATTGATGCTTTGTAACTGGTTTAGAGGAAAGTGGGTTTCAATCTGGATAATGAAGTTTATTCTGGATGGCTCATGCAACTTACTTGACCTTTTGGTGATTTCTATCTATATATAATTACCCACTGCTCTGTCACGAACTGTTTTGTAGGTAAAAGTTCAAACTTGGGTTGATGGTGTAGAGGCAAATGAGTTTGTTGGCGTGGGTGCTAGATTTGGAACTACCATTGAATCAAAGGAGAAAAAAGCACAGCAAACTCGCCTTATTCTTTCAAATCCTCGTGATTGTTGTAACAAAACAAAGAATAAGGTTTTGATGTTTAAACTATATTCTCTTGACATTCATGGTCACAAACATCAAGCAAATATGTTATATGTTTTTTTTAACATCAATGTGTTTTCCTTTTAACGTTTGTTTAGCTTGCTGGCGATGTCATCATGGTGGACCGAGGCCACTGCAAATTCACAACTAAAGCAAATATTGCCCAAGAAGCTAATGCCTCCGCTGTACTCATTGTAAATAACCAGAAAGGTAAATAATAGATGTTTGGGTCATTTGATGTGTGCATTGACTAGTAATGGTATGTCAAAAAAGCTTCACTATCCAAATGTATATATGTATGTATGTATGTCTTCATGTTGTTGTTATGCTACTCATAGAAAGATTGAAACTATTATGTTAGTTCTCATTTTCCTGGATAAGGGACTAATTTTAGCGCTTTCAGTTAGGTATATGAATGTTGAAACATAGAAATGTAATCAAACAGAGATAAATGTCTTGCAAACCATATTCGTTTCATATCAAAATTGTCTCTTTTTGGCAGAACTTTACAAGATGGTGTGTGAGCCAGATGAAACTGCTTTAGATATACACATACCAGCTGTCATGCTCCCGCAAGATGCTGGTGCTACCTTGGAAAAGATGTTAATGAAGAATTCATTGGGTATGCTTCCCTATACTCAAAGACAATTTATAAGCCACAAAAATTTGTGCTTCGAGATATATTGGAATTTTCCTTAGCATTTTTGTTGCTTCAGAAATGTAAGCATCTAAGATGTGCTTTTCACTTAGGATATTAATATCTTTAGCATTCTTTGTTGGGTATATATGTACCTTATACCTTTACTGGATAGCTTTCTAATTGTAGGCTCTCTGCAGTTTCTGTGCAGTTGTACTCACCGCAACGACCTGTTGTTGACATTGCGGAAGTATTTTTATGGTTGATGGCTGTTGGTACTATCTTGTGTGCATCTTATTGGTCTGCATGGAGTGCCAGAGAAGCATCTATTGAACAGGACAAGCTATTAAAGGTCACCTTTTGCCAACCTTAGCTAAATTGGTCTAGGTTTATATTTTTATTTTGCCTTCGCGTTGTGTTGTTCTACTGGAGCTTGTTAGTACGTATTGATTAGAAATTCATTGGCTTGTAGGATGCTTCTGATGAAATTCCAAGTGGCAAAGCTCCTATGGGTGCCAGCGTAGTAGACATCAGCACAACATCAGCTGTCTTGTTTGTTATTATTGCTTCATGCTTCTTGGTTATACTTTACAAGCTTATGTCAGGCTGGTTTGTCGAGCTTTTGGTGGTTCTTTTTTGCATAGGTGGTGTGGAGGTACGAGTCCTCCCAATTGTAGTTAATCAACTTATGATGCATCTGCATGCTTACATACTTGCACAAAGCATTTACCTCAACTTCCATTTAATATATATGCACAATGAAAAGTTTTGCTCTGAAGTTGTTCTGCAGGCCGTGGTTTTGTAATCTGACATATTTGCACATTATATAGTCTGTGCATATTGCGTTGTCCAATAGATTTTCATCTAACTTCACCAATTCTTTATATCCAGGGTTTGCAAACTTGCTTGGTTGCGTTGTTATCGAGGTACAATTAGTTTCATCTCCTATTGAGACATAATTTCTGGCATTTTATGAAGATTCTCTTTTTAATCACCTAAATAACCTTATTGCACTTGCTGGCTGTCAGTTCCAACTCGTATCTGTTTATTTGGGCAGACTATATTAGGAGTCATCGAGTCTTTGTATGCATGTGTCTTAATCAGAATTTTCAATGGAATACTTTTGCATGTCCCCTTTGTATGGGGATGGTTTATCATGCATTTAGCAGGAAGTTGCTTTCTATGTGGGAATCATTTTTGTGATCTTCTGATTCTTTTAAATACGTTCAAAAACATCAAGCAAGGTTTTAAGTATTTTGCACAGCTCCTGTATGTGTAGCTTTGACAATCCTGAGTTTTAGGTTAATTGACTGAAACAATTCCATAAAGTAGGTGAACCAGAAACCTGGTGGTGCATATTGAATCAGTCATGCGGTGATAACTTGCTTTAAGGTCTTGAACTCATTCTACACTTCCACAGGTGGTTCAAACGTACTGGGGAATCATACATTAAAGTACCTATCTTGGGAGCAGTCTCATACCTTACTTTGGCTGTTTCTCCATTCTGCATAGCATTTGCTGTTCTTTGGGCAGTTTTTCGCAACATTTCCTTTGCCTGGATTGGTCAAGATATACTTGTAAGATAAACTTCCCCATCAAAAAGTTTTTCCAATGAATCATAGATTTTGACTTCTTCATGAACTTAAGCTCTGGTATAGCCCCTTTGGTTGCCACCCATGTCCTCTGAAGAGGAGGTCCTAAGTTACATTTCCCCCTCCCTTAAATGCTGTATGTGATAAAGTAATAAGTTTGACTATTGCAAAAACTGAAGGGCATGTAATCAACTAATGACAGTTTCCTTTCAATGATTCTTCCATCAGGGAATTGCACTGATAATCACAGTTCTTCAAATTGTTCGGATACCTAATCTCAAGGTAATCTTATCAGTCTAACTGATTTCTTTTTCTTTTGGGGCCAGAAACCATTTTTCTGCTTGGTAACAATATATTAGGCAATCTATTTCCAAACATTCTGAATCAGTGCTCATTGTTGGAATCACTTGACTGTAATTATGGCGTTGGTTTGTAGCAATTAAAGTACAAGTGTGCATATCTGTGCAGATGAAAGTCTCTCCCATTTGAAATTTTTTATTTATTGGATTTTGAGTGAGTTGCACTTATTGTAATTTTTGCATTGTTAACAAGTGTTCACCCCTTTGTGGCACTTTTGCTGTAAATGATGTCAATCAGAAATATCAGATGTGTGCAATTATGCCTCAACGTTGGTTACTTATCTTAATAGTTGATCTTTTTAAAGAAGATTTTCATTTTTGTCTTTTGTTATTGGCGGGTAGTTGTTTGTGATGAAAGCTTTAATAAAATGGATACGGAATGTACACTCACACTCACACACTTACACACATGTTGAAGCATTCCTGGCAACTGATTTAGGGTGGTTTCTTTTTAATCAGGTAGGTACGGTCCTCCTCAGTTGTGCCTTCTTGTATGACATCTTTTGGGTGTTTGTTTCTAAGAAGTTGTTCCATGAAAGCGTGATGATTGTGGTAAGGGATTCTATTAAGTTTCTCTCCTTGCTACGTTTAATATATACATACATATGTAATTATGGATCAGTTGGTTGTTCAAGGCTTTTTAAACACTCGAGAGATGTCTAATGGCTTTGTCTCCTTTTACAGGTAGCCCGTGGTGACAAAAGTGGAGAGGATGGTATTCCAATGCTACTAAAGATCCCACGCATGTTCGACCCTTGGGGTGGTTTCAGCATCATAGGATTCGGTGACATCCTATTACCGGGCCTGCTTGTGGCATTCTCGCTCAGGTTTAAGCTCTGCAGCCTATCCCAGTTTGCAAAACAGACTTGTTCTTGGCATTTCTCCATACATCAAATTTTTGGTGTTGTTTATATGAACAGAAATAGATAAATTGAAGCATTGTTAATGGTTTTTGCAGGTATGATTGGTTGGCAAATAAGACACTTCGGGCTGGATACTTCTTATGGGCAATGATGGCTTATGGATTGGGTAAGAAATAATAAACAGATGATTTTGTCATCAGCTCCTGTATCAGATTTCTTAGATGTGTTTTCCCAGAAAGACACATGATTTTTCAAATTCTGTGCAGGTCTTCTCATCACATATGTGGCATTAAATTTGATGGATGGGCATGGCCAACCGGCACTGCTTTACATTGTTCCATTCACACTTGGTAAATCCCTTTCTTTCTTCTTCACCAAAATCTTAGTCCAACTTCACCCTATCCTTTAATCGAATGAATAAAAAATCCCAAGGGCACTGCACATGCGATAATTTCCGCCTCAGCAAGCAATCAGGAACCGTAGTGGGAATACTTCTAGATGTTTGCTTTTGGATAATATTGGGATGCTAGAACTAAACTGATTAAAATTTACGCTTAAATGCAGGAACTTTTCTGACATTAGGGAAGAAGAGAGGTGACTTACAGATTCTGTGGTGTAGAGGAGAACCAGAAAGGCCCTGCTCACATATCAAACTCGAAGAGAGTCAAGAATTGGACGAAACGAAGTAAGACAGCTTGTTAAGTTAAAAAATAGAAAAAGTAAGAGCCTGTTCTTGTATGATATTTATAGTGTTGGCATTTTATAATCATTAGAAATCTGGTAACGAACTCTCAAGAGCTTCCCTTAACATGGAAGTCTTTGTATGTAAGCTTATTGCCCCTTAAATTGAACGAGGGATCTCTCTTAATTAAAATAGCGTTCATTTTGCATCGTCTGCTGTCACAAGTAGAAAATTTTGTACAATTTTATCTGCATAAGCAACCATTTATGTTACTAAATCATAAAGCTCGTGGTTTTTTTTATCACCCTTTTTGGTTGTTGAAAATAGCCCCATTAATGTAAAGTTGCAATTATAATATGGCAATATCACGTTCTCCATAACTGATATTAAAAAAAGCACACGTATTTGAAGTCCCAAAAACATCCCAATAGTGCCTATCATTTTTATGACACAGCGATTATTTAAGAGGGGGATTGAACTCGGTGTAAGGTGGCAAGCACACTGCCTTGACAACTGATGTAATCCACATTTGCATCTAAATAGTGCCTAAAGCCGAAGAAACACTTTGTTTTGGGCTAGTCAACTTTGCATCAAAGCTGCAAGTCAATAATCATAGCCCACAAAAAGGGGCTGATAATTATGACTCTTTCGAGGTCCAAGCCCCATGGAGAGTCATCATAAGGCCTATAACACACCTAAGAAAGCAGGCTAATGAGAGGCCTGCATTGAAAGCCTGGATTAATTCGTATGTTTAAGGTCAGGGCTGGAGATAGAACAATTAGCTCAATTATAGTATTTCCATTTCTAATATTGAAAATTATCTTAAGTTCGAATTTCTCTCTCTCGTTGATTCAAAAGAGAGAGAGAGAGAGAGAGAGAGAGAGAGAATGAGAGAGTGGTGGCTGGCATGAGGAGAGAAAGGGGTAAACTCAAATTTGTGTGTCTAGAGATCTTTTTGAGTGTCTATACAATCACCCTCCATCACCGTAGCATGACTAACAAGCCAATTTTGTTGGAAATATCACTTCCATTTTTCTTCTTATGATATTGGCCCAATATAAAACATCAAACAAAAATTGTTTGTTTGGATGCCATTCAAATCACCTCTACAGAAAAAATCGATTGTCAAGTGTTGCTTTCAATTTCAATGACATTTCCGGAAGCTATCCAACAAGAATATTATCCGAATATTATGTCCAAAACACAACACAAGCTTCTCAATTAATCTTCTGCATAAAAAATAAAAAAAACTCAAAGATACCTAATTGAAATGCAATACGTGAATGACATCTGTTTGTTTGTAATAGCATATAACAAAATTCAATATCCCTTGAAAAATCTTTAGACAAAAGAGAGAGAGAGAGAGAGAGAGAGAGAGATTTCAACAAGGCCATGATTATCAATACAAGAAAGAGCCACAAACCCACAACCAAAGTGGTAAAAAAAAATTCAAAAATGGGAAGCCTCGGATTCCACTTAACTTATTATTATTATTTTTTGGTTCCTTGGCTTACAATTGGTTTTGGGCGAAAGTGGGAGGAGCTATTTTAGTGACCCTAGGTTGATGGGTAGAAAAATACAAAAGATATGCATCTCTCCAGATTGTGCCAAGCCAACTGCCATGCTTATCAGACATCTTTTTTTCTCCCTTTTTTTCTTTATGGTTTTTTGGGATACAGAGGACACTTTTTCTGTTTTTATAGTTTTGAATGTCACTTACATAGTTGGCATGGGGCCGCCTAAGGCTGCAACTTGCATTGCATGTGAGTTGAGGGCAGAAGAAGACCAAGAACAGAAGGCATCCCATGAGTGTGAGTTGTCCCCCATAACTCGGCTACTGCTTCTTCCATTTTGTTTATTTTAGGTGGAGTGCAACAAATAAGAAGATTACATTTCACAATGACTAGGTTTGGGACCATAAGAGCGGAGAGAAAATGAGGGGCATGCTATCTCACACCCATCGTTAGCAAATCATGTTAGGTATTGGAAATTATTAAACAAAGATTACACATAATTAAATATGGGAATGGTTAATGTGTTAGGTTATTTCACTTGGTTAGAACAGCGCGCATGCTTATTTGTATTTGAGTTTGAATATTCTTTCACGTAATTTGAAATTATTTGAGAATTGTTTGACTTCCTGCATTATTATTTTTCATTAGAGAGAAGTGCCAATAGTGGCTCCCTTAAACACAAGTTTAATGTTGTTTGCTAGATAATCTGATATGTTAATTGTCATTCTACGAAATTTTTTAGTATGATCGTAACATTAAGCATGTATAAATAATTTTTAGAATAAACATACATTTGTTATAATTTAAATGAATTGATAACACCGTGTCAGCACATAATCCGACACACAAAACTTTATAATAAATCACACTTTCATACACAAATTCACCTTATCAATAATTCAAGTTGATAATTTGACAATATAGCATGCTAGACAATCTGTAAAACTCGATCAGAGTTAAAATCAAACCATGGTTTTGTTTGTGGGCTCGTAGCTGTGGACATGGCCCCTGTCCTTGTAGGGCGACAGAGATGCTATATAGCAAACAGTAAAATAGGTCCATGTCATCGTATATGATATGACGTTGGCGTCCACGTGCTTACAAAAGGGTTGTCAGTTTCTTAACGGTCACAACAAAAAAACGGCCAATTTTTCTCAGCCATACGATCTCCCGCCCGTTGTACTCTAATCTTCTGTGGCTCTGGTTTTCGTGCCGTTGAGAAATTATTACAACAACTCACCATTCAGCAAAAAACAAGATTAAAAAGTCGAGAACTTGAAAGTGATTTGACCCAAAAAGAAAGAACTTGAAAGTGAAAAAAGAGTCCGTAAATGACTGAACCGAACAGTAATTATAAGCTTTTCACCCCCATGAAATTCAGTAATTGGAAAAATCACTTTTGGGTTCAGTTTTTATGACTATTTATAAGTTTTTTCCTCTTCAGTAATCCACTCTCGTACATTTTGCATATGGAACGCATACGTGTATTTATATTTACCACATAAACACTCAAATTTAAGAAAAGAAATCGTATGTCACGAAAATAACATTGTTTTACTATTTTCATACAATCACATTCTATTATGTATCATGCTTTACACAACGTAATTAATTGGGAATAGTTTCGTGACGTGACATGTAAGTTTTTCTCCCACTTAAATTTTGCATGAAGCCCTAAATCTGACGCGAGAGAGAGAGAAAAATGACCACTCTTCTCCGAACCCCAAAAAGAAGAAAGAAAAGAAAAGTAGGGAGTTGTTTAATGATGATGAGAAAATTGGACCACAACATTTTAAAAATCAAATTCCATGTACACAATCTTTAATTTCGGTTAGGTGCTTAGGTGTATGAATCAGATGAACATACCAGAACAGCTGGCCAAAAGCTTTACAAATTCGAAAAAGCAAGCACACAAAAAAAATAAGGACAACTTCTGTAGAGGATAAGAACAACAAAAACAAGTGAAGCAGAAAATGTCAGCATCCTTCTGCAAGTTCTGACCTTTCCAGAACCATCCCCAAAACTCTAATACCTTCTCCTTAATATTATTATAAACATTTGCTTACAAAGTAATGACCTTTGTTTAGGGACTACCACACGGAAAAAGTTTTTTATTTATTTTATTTATAACAAATACTTAATTGAAAATAAATTAAAAAGAAAGACAACCCAGTATTTCATTTGGCAAATAATAGACTGATAGACACCTCAGCTATAAAAGTTCCCCTTTACTTAGCCTCTCTTGCATTGCAGGAACTCACAAAACCCTTGCTTTGAGCGTGTCAAGAGAGCATCTTTGGTTTGCTTTTCAAACAGAGAGAGAAAGAGCTAGAGAAAGCTGGTTAGTGAGAGAGTGACTATGGAGGGCAAGGAAGAAGATGTTAGGCTTGGAGCTAACAAGTTCGCAGAGAGGCAGCCTATTGGGACATCAGCTCAGACAAACAAGGACTACAAGGAGCCTCCACCAGCTCCATTGTTTGAGCCTGGTGAGCTCACTTCATGGTCTTTTTACAGAGCTGGAATTGCTGAGTTCATTGCCACCTTCTTGTTCCTCTACATCACCATCTTGACTGTGATGGGTGTGAACAGGGCTCCTAATAAGTGTGCTTCTGTTGGCATCCAAGGAATTGCTTGGGCTTTTGGTGGTGCCATCTTTGCCCTTGTCTACTCCACTGCTGGTATCTCAGGTTAGCTTCTCCTCCCTTTCCATCTCTTCAGCTTTCAAGTCTTTATTTAAAGTTGATAACTTCCACTAAAAGAAAAAAACACTTTTTCTTGGTGTATTTTCATGGGTTTCTTCAGAATTTATTTTTAGTGATTTTTAAAAATATTTTGGGTAGACTTTTATGGGTGTTTCAACTATCTTTGATGTGGGCTTTCCTTGTTATCTTTGATTTTTCCTCTTAAAATTTGTTCTTCTATTTTAAACTATACTTTGCTTCCTTTCATGGTTACATTTTTGTGATAAAATTCTTTTGTAACCAGATCTGTGTGCTTGCATGTAACAGGTGGACACATCAACCCAGCTGTGACCTTTGGTCTCTTCCTGGCAAGGAAACTCTCTCTTACAAGAGCTGTTTTCTACATAGTCATGCAGACCCTCGGTGCTATTGCTGGGGCTGGTGTTGTGAAGGGCTTCGAAAAGAAACAATATGAGCTTTTGGGAGGTGGAGCCAATGTTGTTAACCATGGGTACACCAAGGGTGATGGCCTTGGGGCTGAGATTGTTGGTACTTTTGTCCTTGTTTACACTGTCTTCTCTGCCACTGATGCCAAGAGGAATGCCAGAGACTCTCATGTCCCTGTAAGTATTCTTTATTATTATTATCTCTGTTATATATTTTTGCAGCTTCTGATTGTTTAATTGTTTTGCTATTTTGACACTCATGTGTCCATTGAATGGGTTTAGCGATGATTGAGTGCTCCAAAGCTGGTTTATTTTTCATGGGCTTTTTAAAAATTGGTTTCTGGTTTAGTTCTTTGAGCTGCTGCTGAATGTTTTTGGTTAATTTATAGTCTGTGTGGAAGAAATTGTTTTCTGATCTTCTAGGTTTTCTATTCTCTGCTCAAACCTATATTTAATTGGGTATTTGTTACCATTGAAGCTGCCCAAATGGCTGAAAGGGGGACTGTAGAATTATCACTTCTCTAGTCCTTATTTTGTGAATGCTAGAAAATAATGACACTTGCATGTTGCTTTTGTTTGTTTGTGTCATTGGTGTGGGTGCCTTTAAGGTGGAAAAAGTTCTGTTGTGCCCAGAGGGTCTCACATGCGTGTGAGACCCACTGGTGTGTTTGGTGGATCAAATATGCATGTAAATGTGAAAGTGGGGACTTTATTATACCTCCGAGGACACTCCTCCCTTTTTAAGGCAAAATGTTATCCACCATTTACGAGTAAGACTCCCCAGTCCCTACCAACAAGAGATCATTTATGGGCTTGCTTATCTACTTTGTTTTGCCTCTCCATGGTTCCTTCTGCTCTACACTACCTCTACCAAATGATCATCTTCAAACATTTGTTATATCCTAAGTCAAATTTAGCACTATGCTTTGAAGCTCAACGAATCAGAAGGGTCATTATTTGGACTGTGTTTTAACTTAGAATGTATATGTATCTGTGTTTTAACTTGCTTATCTACTTTGTTTTGTCTCTCCATGGTTCCTTCTGCTCTACACTACCTCTACAAATGATCATCTTCAAACATTTGTTATATCCCAAGTCAAATTTAGCACTATGCTTTGAAGCTCAATGAATCAGAAAGGTCATTATTTGGACTGTGTTTTAACTTAGAATGTATATGTATCTGTGTATGCAGATTTTGGCTCCTCTTCCCATTGGGTTTGCAGTTTTCTTGGTTCACTTGGCCACCATCCCCATCACCGGAACTGGCATCAACCCCGCCAGGAGTCTTGGAGCTGCCATTATCTTCAACAAGGCCCGCGCTTGGGATGACCATGTAAGCGAATTAACTAAAACTAATTTAACATTTTTCTTTGAACTTTTGATTGTTTAATGAGAATATGAGATTTATGGTACCATGTTTCTGTTTACAGTGGATCTTCTGGGTGGGGCCATTCATTGGTGCTGCGCTTGCTGCTATCTACCACCAGATAGTCATCAGGGCCATTCCTTTCAAGTCCAGGGGCTAATTTTCTTCCCACTAGAGTGGTCACCCATCTCTGCACCCCGTGTCTTCTTCGTCTCCTTTTTCTTGGTGCTGTTCTTGAGAAAAATGTGTGTAAATTAAGTATGCAGTACTAGTACTTATTTCGTATTCGAAGTTTTTGTGACATGTTTTGAATGGAGAATTCTTTTATGGGTTAGTTATATGCTGATGTGCCTTGTGTATTCTACATTCTTCTGATGATTTGATTTAAAGTTGAGCATACCTTGATCAAGCAAGCGTCTTTGGCTCCTCCAGAGAAATGTATTTTGGCTAAATTCTGACTTTTCTTTCTCGTCAAAATTCATGAAATCGCAATTGTATATTAAAAAATTAAATAGGGTCATTGAAGAGTTGTCGTTGGATCCAATTGAAGAGATCATATCAATTTGAAGAGCGCATATGACTATGTAAAAGGGCTAGTATATGCATACGCGAGGCAAATAAAGTCTGAAAGAGCGTTATTGCGAGGCAAATAAAGTCTAAATGATAGCGTTATTGCGAGTGCCTTTGAAGCATTAAATTCGTTCATAAAACTAAACCGGAATATAAAAATTGGAGCAAATTCATTCATAAAACTAATCCGGAATATAAAAATTGGAGCAATTTTGGCGGAGGCAATTGAAGAAAAGGAAAAAGAATATGCACAGATCCATTGCAAGACTGTTTCATATATTATTCAACTTGGCAAGTAAATCTATTTTTCAATTAGAAAAGTTAATATTTCTTAAAACGGGTTATAAAAAGGACAATACTTCCCTCGTCCTTACCTTTTATTGTGGCTCAACCACAAAATGACATGTGTTCTCCCCTTTTAATTGTCAAAACAGTTTTTTTTTTCTTTTCACTATTTAAACCTCACATTTTCTTTGTTCATCTCAATAATTAAATCATTAAGATTTTAAGTTTTATTGTTGTGTAAAAAAACAAAAAAGGTCATCAAACTTAGTACTTAACTCTAGTATATCTATACACACACTCCACACACTTAGAATAAACATGTATGAGAGCACTGCCAGCAATTACGTGCAAACAGTACCCATATTTGGTGACTAGGCCATGGATTTACTTGCTCAATTCCAAAGTAAATAAATCAGCTGAAACACCAAGAAGGTTGACAAATGTCAAGAGACTCGGGTGGAGCAATCTAAGCCTTATCTCATTGAAAAGACCCAGCGCTTCAGACATCTTAATTATCCTGTCTTCAGTAACCTTCAATCATTGCATTGTAAGAGACCACATTATAATGCCCGCCTCTTGGTTTGGAGGTTTTGGTCCTTTTTCTTGGTGCTGTTCTTGAGAAAAATGTGTGTAAATTAAGTATGCAGTACTAGTACTTATTTCGTATTCGAAGTTTTTGTGACATGTTTTGAATGGAGAATTCTTTTATGGGTTAGTTATATGCTGATGTGCCTTGTGTATTCTACATTCTTCTGATGATTTGATTTAAAGTTGAGCATACCTTGATCAAGCAAGCGTCTTTGGCTCCTCCAGAGAAATGTATTTTGGCTAAATTCTGACTTTTCTTTCTCGTCAAAATTCATGAAATCGCAATTGTATATTAAAAAATTAAATAGGGTCATTGAAGAGTTGTCGTTGGATCCAATTGAAGAGATCATATCAATTTGAAGAGCGCATATGACTATGTAAAAGGGCTAGTATATGCATACGCGAGGCAAATAAAGTCTGAAAGAGCGTTATTGCGAGGCAAATAAAGTCTAAATGATAGCGTTATTGCGAGTGCCTTTGAAGCATTAAATTCGTTCATAAAACTAAACCGGAATATAAAAATTGGAGCAAATTCATTCATAAAACTAATCCGGAATATAAAAATTGGAGCAATTTTGGCGGAGGCAATTGAAGAAAAGGAAAAAGAATATGCACAGATCCATTGCAAGACTGTTTCATATATTATTCAACTTGGCAAGTAAATCTATTTTTCAATTAGAAAAGTTAATATTTCTTAAAACGGGTTATAAAAAGGACAATACTTCCCTCGTCCTTACCTTTTATTGTGGCTCAACCACAAAATGACATGTGTTCTCCCCTTTTAATTGTCAAAACAGTTTTTTTTTTCTTTTCACTATTTAAACCTCACATTTTCTTTGTTCATCTCAATAATTAAATCATTAAGATTTTAAGTTTTATTGTTGTGTAAAAAAACAAAAAAGGTCATCAAACTTAGTACTTAACTCTAGTATATCTATACACACACTCCACACACTTAGAATAAACATGTATGAGAGCACTGCCAGCAATTACGTGCAAACAGTACCCATATTTGGTGACTAGGCCATGGATTTACTTGCTCAATTCCAAAGTAAATAAATCAGCTGAAACACCAAGAAGGTTGACAAATGTCAAGAGACTCGGGTGGAGCAATCTAAGCCTTATCTCATTGAAAAGACCCAGCGCTTCAGACATCTTAATTATCCTGTCTTCAGTAACCTTCAATCATTGCATTGTAAGAGACCACATTATAATGCCCGCCTCTTGGTTTGGAGGTTTTGGGTTGGAAGACATGGGGCCTTGCTGTGACTGAAGAACAGGGCAAGCAAAGGTGTGTGTCTTTGTAATGGTCTTCTTGCAATGTGTTAGGTGTAGTGCAAAGTTTCTCTCATACCAAGGGAGAGGATGCTCTATTGAAATTGTGTGTGCCTTCTTTCTTTTATAATGCTGGTACATGACAGAGGGATGGCTGATTGTAGTTTGCACCCAAGTTATACTTTCATCTATATTATTCGCTGACAACATTGTGATTACTGGTTAGCATGGTTTTGAACTCAACCAAAAAATAATAATTTATTTTTTTACTTTTTGTCTATTTTTTTTATAAGCAATATTGAGGAAGGGGAGATTCCAATATAGGACTTGAGGGATAACTGTTTCTAACCATTTGAGCTATGGTGAATGGCAAGATAGCGGGGTGTGAGATTGATGAGTTCTTTATTTTTTTATTTTTTTTTATGCTAGGTGTGTATTTAGGGGTAGTTTGGGAAGATAATGTGATTTTCTTAGAAATTGTGAAAATTTGAATTAGAAGTTAGAGTGAACTTCTAATATGGGGTGAACAAAGAGAAATGCGGGATTTAAATATAAAAACTCTTTACTAAATCCCTGACTTTTTACCAAAAAACATCAATGCATAACCATCTTATCAAAATCCTAATCATACACGCATATCCAACGGCTAACACGCTAGTGGGGGTCGATCGCTATCGTATTAGTTTTGTTATTTAAATTAAACCCCGAGAAAATCATCACATCACATCACATCACATGTTGGGTTTTGTAAATGCAGCTCTGTGAAATGTTGTTTATATTTTGGATTTGCAAAGTCTGATCAACAATCTTGAAAAATGTGGATATTTGGATGGAAAGGGCAATCTGGATTCTCAGCCCGCTCTACAGCTGAGGAAGTTACTCAAGGAATTGATGGAACTGGTCTCACAGCAATTGTTACAGGTCTTGTTATGCTAAATGATTCTTCTTTTTCATCTGGGTGTTTTTGTTCTTTGTTTCTGTATTGCCATGTGTGCTTTTTTCTTTTGTTGGTCAGTTCCTATAATTTCTTGTTGTGTCATATGTTTGTTTGCTGAGAGAATTACAGAGAAAAGAAGAAAGAATGTTGCTTTAGTTGTCTTTTTTGTTAAACTAACAATTGAGCAACCAAATGGAGTTTCTTTTGGCGACGCATCTGAAGTTGGGTGTGTACGATCGTTTCTACTTTTCTTTCATGGGTAGTTGTTTAGTGTTTCATTGGTTGGTTGGTTGATTTTCTGATTGAAGCTGGCTAGTTTAGGATTAGTTGACTTGATGTTGAAAATGGAGTAAATGGAGTAGATCAAAGTTCTGGTCTAGTTTAAATCTTTTTTTAGTTTTGTAGGATTCTTTAGGATCGTTATGCTATGAAATCTAGTTCATAGTTTTCCTGTGAACTTATTGCCACAATTACAAAAATCATTCATCTGAAAATCCAGCCATTGAAATTCTGAATTGCTTTTTCGCTTGATAATTGGTGAGATTTGCAGATTTGGCCTTTTTCAAGTTCTTATACTTATTTAATTCCAGGAGCATCAAGTGGTCTTGGTCTGGAGACAACACGTGTTCTAGCCTTGCGTTGTGTTCATGTCATCATGGCAGTAAGAAATACAGAGGCTGGTAGGGATGTGAGAACAGCAATACTTAAGGAAATCCCCACTGCCAACATCAATGTCATGGAACTAGATCTCAGCTCAATGGCATCAGTAAGAAAATTTGCATCGGAATATAACTCCTCTGGTCTTCCATTGAATATCCTGATGTAAGACATCTGAATTGGACCGTTGTAATTATTTATGTCACATTTGCTTGTGCTCATTTGAATCTCTCGTCTCTTGTTGCAATTGGTTACATGTGCTTGCATGTGTTCGTGTGTGTTTGCATGCTCACTTAGTGTTGTATGATATCATTGTGACAATGGTTGTTATTGCTGCTTCATTCTTTATTTTGGAATGGTGTTTGGTCCCAAGAGTGGGAAAAGAAAGAAGGAAAAACAATAAGTTCATATTTTTGTACAATGTTCTCCTATTGGTGTTATTATTAACATTACGGAGTTATAATTTATCCTCTCTGTTTGTTTGAAGTAATAATGCAGGGGTTATGGCAACTCCTTTCATGCTTTCCCAAGACAACATTGAACTGCAGTTTGCAACCAACCATTTAGGTATTTAAAACATGAAATTCTTTTGATGTTTCTCTTGAGAATTTGAAATGGCCTGTTATATGGTCTTTATAGAATTGGAATCTTAGAGTTCTTACCATTCTTTTACAGGCCATTTTCTTTTGACCAACCTTCTATTGGAGACCATGAAGAAGACAACAAGGGAGAGCAAAAAAGAGGGAAGAATTGTGAACTTATCATCAGAGGCTCACCGATTTGCATATAGTGAGGGGATTCGTTTTGATAAGATTAATGATGAATCAGGGTAATAGTTTGACAGGGTCATTTTATGAATTTTGTCACTATGTGCTGCTGCAATAATGCAATAATATATGGTTTTATGGTTTGCAATGTATCAAATTTTGTCAATTAATACTTCTCTTTACTTATATTTTATTACTTGAAAATTCACAGATACAGCAGTATATACGCTTATGGACAATCAAAGCTAGCCAACATATTGCATGCTAATGAGCTCACAAAGCGCTTGAAGGTATCAACTCATATTGGATCATAAACATGATCGCCAGTGAATTTGATGATATAAATCATTTATCTGATTATATTTTTTCTTGGTCAATTGTAAGGAGTTCTCGACCTGCAACAGATAGAGGAAGACTTATTCAGTCACATAGTTTGGGCTCCTAGAATATGGAACCCTTAAATAATAGCGTAGATAAGACTTTTGGTTAAGCATTAATGTGTTAAGTTCCTTGAGATAAATGTGACTTAAATGTTTTAGCATGTGCAGGCCCTTGGGCTTTGTTCATGTTTCTTTTGGTCAATAGAAGAGAAAAGAATGACAGTCTAATTTCAGTGTGCAAGTATTTTCTTTTTTCCGGAGATGCTTACATAATTTTGTCTCAAATGTTCATTGTATTAGCAAATATTCCATATGGTTATTTTTACTATCTTCAAAAGAGAAACAGTTGAAAAGAGCAATAGGGCAGAGAGTGTAGCTTTTACATCATTGGTGTTTTCAACATTCTTAAGCAGTCCGTACTTCCAATGCCATGCCATCATGGATGGGAAATTCTAATCTTTTGTTTGTGTTTCAAATTTTTTTTTTTCAATAATCTTTTAAAATCCCGTCTTGTTTAACAGGAAGAAGGAGTTGCTATAACTGCTAATTCCCTTCATCCTGGATCAATTGCTACCAATCTTCTACGCTACCACAGTTATATTAATGGTAAACTTTTGAACCATTGCAAATATTCGTTCTCCTTGATCATGTAGTTGGATTTTTTGGTCTATTGACAAAGATGCTCATTGTGTTTTGGATAAGGTGATTAAGTTCATGCATTCTAAGTTGAGTAATATTCAGATATTCATTATGTGTTCACAACCCTCTCGCCTTGCCCGTTCCTTTTTTTAAATTTCACCGTTTCCTGTATTTGTGTGGATTCGTGTCTTGATATTTATTGTTTTGGTTTAATGCAGTCATTGCCAGCACACTCGGTAGATTGATGCTTAAATGATGTCTATCTCCCAGTCCTATTAAGATATGCTCAAGCAGCTTCACTGCATGTTAGTTGTCTTTTTAATATACTTCACATAACTGCAGGGAGCAGCAACTGAATGCTACGTGGCGTTGCATCCGCAAGTTAAGGGTGTCAGCGGCGAATATTTTATGGACAGCAACAAAGCCAATCCAACCTCTCAGGCTAAAGATCCAGAACTGGCAAAGAAGCTATGGGATTTCAGTTTGAGCCTGACGGATCCAAAGTAACCAGGAACAAAACTCTGTTGTAAATTGCAAGTCAATGTCAATGTCCCTTTTACCAAGTTTGAGACTTGAGTAGAAGCTTAGACGTTGAATGACCATGTAAAACATATGTAGGCTATGTCAGGGGACTTATCCTTGGCCCTTCCTAAAATTATGAACTTTTTTTTTTCCTATTAAGACGTTGAATTACCATGTAAAACATATATAGGCTATGTCGGGACTTATCCTTGGCCCTTCCTGAAACTATGAACTGTGTTTTTTTTGTTTTTTTTTTCCTATAATGAAAAACATGGGTTATGGTTCTTATATTTGTCATGAATGTATATGGTTTATCAACTATTTCCAAAGCACTTCAATCCAAAGGACTCTGTTCCACATATATACATATAAGAGCAACATCACAAACGTCATTGTGATTACAAATCACCATTTTAAAAGAGCCATTGCTTTGTCTTTTCCTCTGATTTTGGTGTGTGTTGTAAATTAGAGGAGCAACATGACAAGCATTATTGCTAATTACAATTCCCAGAAATGTTGCCATGTAAGACAGGACCAGCAGCAATCAAAACAGTAGGCCTTGTGCTGTATGCCTCTTATTAACATTTGGAGCAATGTATTCAAATTGCATTTGATAGATGGTCTCTGTGCTGTAACTTGTAACTTCATTATCTGCAAAATTAATGGGTGGGATATTTAGCAAGAAAGGAGCATCTGGGTTCTCTGCTTCTTCCACAGCAGAGGAAGTCGCTGAAGGGATTGATGCAACTGGTCTTACCGCCATTGTTACAGGTCATGCTCTATTTTAAGCTTCCTATAGGATACATATAACAATATGGTCTTAGCTGCTCTCCAGCCTATTTGACATCTAACATGTCAATGAGTCTTTCTCTGGTCTTAGCTGTTTATTTTTTATCATAAACTTTGTTTAATTTCAGGAGCTTCAAGTGGTATTGGCGTAGAGACATCACGTGTTCTTGCGTTGCGTGGTGTCCATGTGGTTATGGCAGTAAGGAACAAGGATGCTGGGACGAACGTCAAAGAAGCAATTCTTAAAGAAATCCCAGAGGCTAAAATTGATGTCATGGAGTTAGACCTCAGCTCATTGGCATCTGTAAGAAAATTTGCAGCAGATTTTAAATACTTGGACCTTCTATTGAACATACTTATGAAAGATACGAAAATTCTTAAATTTCCTTCTTTCTTGGGTTGTATGTGCTTATGGTTTTCTCATGGAAATTAAGAAAATGACAGCTCTCCCAGCACCATACACGCACTCATTTGTAGTATTGCACTCTCTTCTTTGTTGGAAGTAACAATGCAGGCATTATGGCAACTCCATTCAAGCTTTCTCAAGACAACATAGAGCTCCATTTTGCAACTAACCATTTAGGTGTGTCTGCCTAAAATTTTCTTTGAAGTCTGTCCTGTAGTATAACGGATTCAGTTTTCTACGAGTCGCTTTTGTTGAGTTATTAACTTTTACTCGAACCATCCAATGTGCAGGTCATTTTCCTCACAGATCTTTTGTTGGAGACCATGAAAAGCACATCGCGAGAAAGGAAAACAGAGGGGAGAATTGTTAATGTATCATCACTAGGCCATCGATACGGGTACCGTGAAGGGTTTTGTTTCGATAAAATTAATGATGAATCAAGGTAAAACTGTGGCAGCACCCTTTTGAAAAATCGTCTTTAGGCTAATGAGGTGTTTGTGTATATAAACACATGATCAACAATCTGCCGTTTTGACTTGCTATACAGATACCACAGATATTATGCTTATGGACAGTCCAAGCTTGCTAACATATTGCATGCTAATGAGCTTACAAGACGTCTGAAGGTATTGAGTTTCTTAAGGTCATCAACGATTTCCCCTTCTTGGTTGGCATCGTAACTTATTTTCGGAATGTTAACTAAACAGGAAGAAAGGCCAGAGGTAACAGCTAATTCTCTCCATCCGGGAACAATTCTCACAAATCTTCTGCGCTATGATGGCTTTTTAAAGTGTAAGCTTCATCTGCTGTACCACATGGATACATCTCCTTTCATGTTGTTGACAGTGCAGCAGTATTCTCTGGTTTTCCACAGATCAACTCACATTTTCTTTGGCTTGACACAGGTATTCTTAAGGTGCTGGGCATATTTATCTCTAAAACTGTTCA